ACACAACCACGAACTGCTGCAGCCGGCAACTGTAAGTAATACAACCCCCCTATCCGTTTACCATGCCCAATCTTCTCGTGAGTCCTGAGATCCTGGAAAAAACAATGGGTAGAATAGAAGGTAGCAGACGCGTTAAGTGTATCAAGTAAACGCCCAACAGATAACCAATTGCAATGAATATTGGGAACCAAGAGTGCATAAGACAGAGGTAAATAAGGAGTGAGATGGATGGTACCTTCACCGGTAACTGGGGAAGGTAAACCATTAGCACTAGTAATATAGGGGTCACGAGGGTTATGCAACAACTCATCAAACATATTATCATTATAAGTCATATGATCAGAAGCACCAGTGTCAATTATCCAAGGAGTAGAACCCATACCTGGCATAGTATCGGAAGCACACAGATTTGCAGATGGAGCCGGAGGACGAGCCTTATCAGGAGTCACAGTGTAAGTGGCCTTGGGGCCATACATACGAGCTTTGTAGTCAGCAAACCAATCAGGGTAACCATGCTCCTTAAAACACTTCTCATAGTAATGATTCTCATTACAATGGCGACATTTAGGCGGACCTTCAAGAAATCTAGGAGTAGAGCCAGAAGGACGAGACCCAGTAGAAGAACCAAATTTTCTGGACGGAGAGCGACCGGTCGCGTCGTGCTGGGCGACCGAGCGTTGACGAGCTGGGTCAACCTTGAGCGATCCTCCTCCAAGCATAGCGGACTGACGGGTGTCTTCCTCCATAACCACAGCATAGGCTTCGAGAGGAGGCGGGACAGGACTAAGAGCAAGAATACGGCTACGGACACCATCATATGATGGATCAAGTCCGCCAAGAAAATCATAAACTCGATCAGCTTCAATTTCTTTCAAACGACGTGCCCCATCAGTAGACCAGCTAAACTCATGCGGACGCAAACAATCAATCTCTTGCCAGATAGCATGGAGTTTTTCATAGAACACTTTCACAGATTCACCATTCTGACCTATAAGTATGAACTGCCGTCGGAGTTGAAACAAACGAGAACTATTCTGAGTCACAGTATAGGTCTTTCGAGCAGCCTCCCATATATCAAAAGCAGTATCACCATGTTCAAACAAGGCACGAACTGGTTTAGTCATGGAATTGAGAAGCCATGACTGCACCAGACAATTATCTTCTTCCCATTCGGCATAGGCATCGGAATCTAGAGACGGAGCAGGCTTCTTCCCATTGATCCAACTTGCCATACGACGACTAGTAATCGTAATACGCGCACCACGAGACCAAGAGGCATAATTGGAGCCATCCAATTTGTCATAAGTAATCGGGGTAGAGTAATCACGCGATGGACGTGCCTCGTTCAGTGTAGACACACTAGTACCAACCACAACCTTGGAATCATCACCCATGATAGCAGCGGAAACAAACACAACACGAAGCAC